CGGCAGCCATGACCACTTTCATTTCCTTGAACTCCGTGCTGCCATTTTTTGATAGTTCTATTGCCCTCCTCTTCATTGATGAACTTCTACTCGTCCTTCAGGACTCAGCTCGCAAGGGCCAGATGGCAGACAGTTTAACTTCTGTGGGCCACACGGTCGCTGTCACAGCCGAACAGCTCTGTCCTCGTTGGAAGGCAGCTATAGACAACCTGTGAATAAATGGCTGTGGCTACTACAGTAAAAACCTTTATTTGTGGATGCTGACGTCTAAATCTCATGCCATTTTCACGTGTCACAAAATATTATGCTGCTTTTAATTGTTTTCAACCGTATAAAAATGTAAAGCCACTCCTATCTCGTGTGCCAGACAGTCTTCGCCCACAGGAGTCCTCCCAGCTGCTGCTCTGAGGCATCGCTACAAATACCAACTCAGTCCCCTCAGAAATTCTTTTAGCTAAATACTTCTGTTGTTCCTTTACAGATGTGCACGCTGAGGCACAAGGCCCTCAGTCATGTGTCCAAGTCCCACAGTTGCTCAACGCCAAGATTTCACATGCAAGGCATGCGCATACACCTGCTAGTTAGCGGGCTGCTTTCAAGGGATTCAGGCAGCAGGCTGACATGCAGCACGGAGTTCTGCCAGCTCACTCCAGCTGTGGCATGCAGATTAATAAGAAAGCCCAGGGAGCCCTAGCCGGTGTGGCTCAGTGGATAGAGCTTTGGCTTGCAGACCAAAGGGTCCTGGGATTGATTCTGGTCAAGGGCATGTACTTTGGTTGCAGGCTCCTCCCTGTCCCAGGCCCTGGTCGGGGCGAGAGCAGGAGGCAACCAATCAATGTGTTTCTCTCACATGGATATTTCTCTCTGTCTTTCCCTCTCTCTTCCACTCTCCCTAAAAATCAATGGGAAAAGATCCTCGGGTGAGGATTAACGACAACAAAAAAGAAAACCAGGGAAAACAGTTAAATGGCTATTGTAGTACCACACAGGGCTCTGAGATCCCATTCTCCCATAAAATAAACAGAAAAAGTATACCATGGAAGCCAGGAAAAAGGTTTTGAACAAAATGCTCTTCTGATTGGATCCATCTGACAAGCGAATCATGACTTGCGCCATCTCTGTTGGCAGCATAAAAACAATTAAACTATTTAGGGCATTTAGGATTTGCCTTGACTATGGAAATTCTACTTATTGTAGAAATATTGAGTTAACTTAAAATAAATTCCTACTTTTAATTGTTAAACAGTTGCAGTTTAGGTAATAAAAAAAGAATAGTTTCCCTGTGTGCGCGCACACACATGCATGTATAAAACCTTAGACCCATGTTGTAAGAATTCGTTAAATGCTATGATGATGAGATCGAATAAAAGGCAGATGTCAAAGTGGCTTAATATATTATCGATTTTACTTGAAAGGAAAAACACACTTTAAGCCTTGGTTAACTGAGCTACATTTTTGTGACCTTAGAAAAGTAATCCAGTTGGCATCCAGTTGGTACTTCTGTTAGGTATTCCTATTTTTTAACTGTTTTTTGAAGAACTTCATACTGTGTGTTCCTACAAAGAACCCCGTAAGGAAAAACTGAGCCCTTCGTCTGAGTCCTGCACAGGGAGTGTGTTTCCATCACATTATGTTCACAGTCGGCAGGGGTCAGTGTGGGAGACCCTTCCCTTGGAGAGGGTCACCCCGTGAAAAGATAGTTTGTGGAGAAGGAAAGTTGTGGTTCATTTTATGTCTTGTTTACCTCCATACAGTGGGGACCGTGACCATGGGGCTGCCGCCTTTTCTTCTCAGAAGAATGACAGCCTTTATGGCTGAGTCCATGTCTCCCCCGGAGTCTTTCACCTCTGCAGATGTACTTTCCCTAATGGCTTCCAAGCACAAAGATAAGATAAAGTAAACAGATAAGGTGCTGTGGCTTGCGGAAGCAGCCTCCTCCAGAGTAAATCTATACCTGCAGCACGCACCGAGTTTAACGTCAAGCAAATGTAAACATCAGGCATCAATGAACGGCCTCAAGATAATTCTAGTGTCTGATATTCACAGTTTCCGTTTCGTTATGCAGCGTGTTTATTTCTGGGGTACAGCCACGAGGATGGGGGAATGAGAAAAGCCTAGATTTGATATTTGCACAGACCGTAGACGCACTCTCTTCATTTGCTTTCTGGTTCCCAGTCCCTTCCTCTGCACAGTGGGGATAAGAACAGAACCCCGAATGGTTTGTAGGGTTAGAGCCTGAGATAAATTCAGCCCAGTGATTGGCACATACTACACTCTGTGGACGTGGCGCTAGGATAGTTATTGTGGTCTGAGTTCTGTTGTCGCAGAAAAGTAAAGATGAGTTGTCCTATTGGCTTAAAATCTCGGCCATCACTAGCAGGGCTATTGTAAAAAATGCTCTTCACTGCTATTATTATTCTCTATTCCCAGGCTGAGCTACAAGGTAGCAGATTTGATAGAGTTAATGATCCCTTGGAAACACCTGCTTTCCATAGAGAAAAGGTGTTTTTAAGAATATTTGAAACACTATGTATGTACTCTACTGGATTGTATGTCAATGTTCATTCAGAAGCTTGATGGAATAAGTAGACGTCTTTATTATGAAAGGAAAGGACATTAGTTATACCATCAAAGGCAAAGTACATAAAGCTCATTCACAGGTTTGTACACATGGAAGTCAGTACCGCCCAGAATTTAATTAACCGAGGACATGACCAGATGCGTGCTGCTCGCAGGCATCCCATCGTTCATGCGTAGATTCTAGAACAGACTGACCGTTATTGTAAGAAATATGAATGGAAATTGTAATTTTCAAAGAGCATCATGGTAGCAGTCAGTCTATGTTCTGAGTGTGATAAGTTGTGGTGATGGTATCTCCTGACTCTAAAGTAAGTCCCAATTTCATTCTCATTAAGTCCTCCCAGAAATAGCGAGTTTATGTTTTGAAATTTGATGGAGATGCTATTTTTTGACTAACAACTGAAAGTTTTCATAGCAATAATATTGGTTTTCACTTTCAACCAGAACTGATTTCTTTCCCATCTGAACAAAACAAGGCTTTGCGAATCTACTCCAATAGAGATACTGCCTCCTATTACTTACTAAGGCATAAATAGAGACTTTTTCATTAGAATCTAAATACGTGCAGGAAGGACTATGTCTCAGACTCACTGATACACTGGTTGGCACATGGCCTTTTCTGAAATTTATAATTTTTGAATAAAAATAGAGAGCCAATAGAATATAAGCACATTGAGTAATAGATTCTGTAGTCTGCTTTTATCACAACGCTACAGCTCATGATTGCTGGTTTTACTTGCTCATTGAATTACTAGTAAATGAGACTTGGTGGTGGATCAGCAAATTGGGGGTGTCTAAAATATTCATTTGTCCTTTTATGCTTGGCTTACTTCATAGAGTGCTGTGTTTTGAAGGTTCATCTATGTTGTAGCATGTATCAGAACTTCATTCCTTCTTATGGCTGACTCATGTTCTAGTGCATGAATATACCACATTCTGTTCTAAACTTGGGTTATTTCCAAATTTTGACTATTGTGAATAGTATACTAATGAACATTGACATACAGGTGTCTAAGTTCCAGCTTTCACCATTTTGGGTATATCTCTCAGAGTGGAATTGCTTGGTCATATGGTACTTCTATGTTTAGTGTTTTGAGGAATATTTTATGATTCCACTTATATGAAATATTTGAAATAGGCAAATTCATACAGGCAGAAAGTGGAGTAGAGATTACCAATGGCTTGGAGGAGGGGGAAATGGGGAGTTATGGCTTAATGGATCTAGAGTTTCTGTCTGGGGTGCTGAAAAAGTGGCGGAAATAGTGGTGATGGTAGCACAACAACATGAATATAACCATGCTACTCAATTGTACACTTTAAAATGGCTACAGTGGAAAATTTGATAGTATATATAATCATGAATAGTATAGTAGACCAAAACCAATGAATTGGACACTTGAAATTGCCTGGTATGTGAATTATATTCCAATACAGCTGTTTACAGCATCATGTTTATCTGAAGGGGAAGTCTAAGGTTCCTAACTTATTTTCTACTGGTCACCTCATGGCAGCAGGGGGCAGCCGGAATGAACTGGATTTGGATAATTTATGCTTCTGCCAACAAATAGGCCTGACCCTACACCCTGAGACTACATAACGGGGGGAAGGGCAGGACTACTCATCGCCAGAGGCTTTAAATCTAAATATTGAAGCATGAAGCAATGTCCATGCAGTTACTCTGGCAAATTTAGGTGGTGAAAATCAGCAAATTATACATCCGTACATTCAGGCAGGCACACAAAGCACAGATGCACGCATATCCAAGCAAGTATAGGCTTTTATAAAGTACTTTGTGAAGAACTAATAGCACAAAGCACTCAAAACAAGGGCATTATGTTCTGCTACTATTCTTTTACTGTCTTATCTTTGTACACACAATATGACTTACTAACTGCTCATTTGCAGTATTTATGTATAACATTCTGAGTTTGAATCTTCAAAATCACCTTTGTTTAGATTATGAATAGTTGAACAGTAAATCTGTTAGAAGTTAATGGAACATGACAGATGCCGGCTTTCACTTTAATGCCAAGCAATGCAGTTATTTAGAATAATTAAAGATTTTATAAGTTGAAGTTGTGGTGCATCAGAATGTCTGCAAATTCATATACAAGTCACATTAAATTCTAAATCTACATGCCCACATGCATAAATATTTATATAAAAGTAAGTATTCTGCTTTGCTCTGGGTCGTTTGGTTCCTGCGTAGAGATCTTTTGTATTTGGGGATGTTTTGGTTATTCTTTACCTGCCGCCCCACTCCTCAGCTCCCCACCAAATGTTAGGGCAGCAGGACAGGCGATAAACAGATTTTGTAGGTGGAACCGCAAACGACTTCCTCTTTTAAAAAAGAAATACTCATTTTTATATTCGGTTGTTTTGTTCAATTACATTTTTCTTATTTTTAACTTATTTTTCAGCTGCTCCAGTTGATGTACTAAAAGCTCTAGATTTTCACAATTCTCCAGAGGGAATATCAAAAACAACGGGCTTTTGCACAAACAGAAAGAATTCGAAAGGGTCGGATACTGCTTACAGAGTTTCAAAGCAGGCCCAGCTCAGCGCCCCGACAAAACAGCTCTTTTCAGGTAAGTTCACTGCATTACTATGGCTACCACTATGTTACTTCTCACTATTTCTTTTTATCCTACTTTATAATGCACGATTATGGTGGGGAAGATATCATTTTTATTTATCAGACAGCAAATAGATGGTGGTCACCAAGGCAACAAGGAAAATAATGATTTTAAATATATATTTTTATTGATTTCAGAGAGGAAGCGAGAGGGAGAGAGAGAGATAGAAACATCAATGATGAGAGAAAAATATCATTGATTGGCTGCCTCCTGCACGCCCCCTACTGGGGATCGAGCCCACAACCCGGGCATGTGCTCTGACAGGGAATCGAACTGTGACCTCCTGGTTCATAGGCTGACACTCAACCGCTTGAGCCACGCTGGCTGGACTAATCATGATTTAGTAATTGCCAGTTTTAACTCAGCACATTCACAGAAGATATGCTAATGAGAAAACCTAATAAAGCTATTTTATTTCAAGATGACAAAACTTGAAGCCAACATTATGTCTAGCTCACTTTTGCATAGAATCACGCAGAATTTACTTCACGTTTCATGCCTACCCATGTACAAGTTCACCTGCTAGGTGGTTTCAGTTCTGTTGTTTTCAGTTCTGTTGTTGAACTACATTCTTAGGGAATTCTCTCTGACATAGTCAGTTGCGAACAATCTTGAATTTTTTAAATTTTTTCTTGTACAAACGTTTTCTTACCGACATACATATTTTTCCCAAGAAAAACGATTTTAAATATAATGTTACATGAATTTTGAACAGTTTTAATTAGCATCTTCTTTAGGGAGAGACTAAGGTGGGTTGCCTAGGTTAGATTGACATTAAATCCTGATTTCTTAGATAACTACATTTTCTTTTTTAACAATAATCTTTAAGGTTATTGCTCTATTTTAAATTGGGAAATACCTTTATAATTAACAGCTTTTACTCATTAGTGTAGTTAGAAAGCGACAGTATTCAAAGGTACTGCTGTACAGATTGGATGATTAAATTGTTGTAATTTTTTAAGTCTGATATAAATATGTTATTTCCTAAAATTCCCCTTCCTCTCTCTGTGTAGACTTTATTTTATATACATTTTCTTTGCTTACCTGTCTGACATATATTTATGCTGTTCATTTAACTAATACAGTCATTGACTAAATGCTTTCTGAGCACTGATACAGATCTTCCCCTGGCCGGAGGGGGGGTGGGGGATGGGGGAGGGGAGGAGACAGTCTGCCCTCTTGAATTTACCATCAAACCGGCCACATGTCTAACAGTTCTGGTTTAGAATGACATAAGCTTTTTTTTTTAGTGGAACTGCTCTGTGTGGTCGGAAAAACTGATCAGAGACTCTGGCTTTCAAAAGATGACTGAGAGAAGATATTTACACCGTGTTCATACCCTGCCTCGTTAGAGAGATGACGGATGGCCTCGGATGAGGCACAGGCAGCAGATACAAACCTGGCACCAAAAGTGGGACTTAGGTGCTTTTAAAAGTGCCCACTGTGCTTGATATTGTACTTGGCATCATGATCTCGCTTCCTAACTTTTTATTTAATTTTATTTAATAACTGTGCTTTAAATGAGTGGCTTTAAACTTGATATAGCTTAGACAGCTATTGCAGAAAAAGCTTAGTAGAGATTTGTTTTTAATGTTTTAAATTGATTTGAGAGAGAGAGAGAGACAGACAGAGACAGAGAGGAAAAAGCATGGATTTGTTGATCTACTTACTTATGCATTCATTGGCCGATTCCCCTATGTGCCCTGACCAGGGGTTGAACCCACAGCCTTGGTGTGTCCGGACGATGCTCTAACCAGCTGAACTACCTGGCCACGGTCCCCTCTGTTGGCTTTTAAACCTGTGTTGTTATCACTGGGTGAACTCAGGTGACTTACTAAGGCCACACAGAAAGATGAGAAATTGGGGTGATCCAGGAGCCATTTGGAAATTCGGAATCTGACTCTCTGTACTTTTCTTCTCAGGAGGAACTTTCCCAGAAGATTTTTCAATATTATTTACAGTAAAGCCCAAAAAAGGAATTCAGTCTTTCCTCTTATCTATCTACAATGAGCACGGCATTCAGCAAATCGGCGTGGAGGTCGGGAGGTCGCCCGTCTTCCTGTTTGAAGACCACCTGGGGAAGCCCGCCCCCGAAGACTACCCCCTGTTCCGCACGGTCAACCTCGCTGATGGGAAGTAAGTGACATCTCAGCCCAAAGCAGTTCTTCCGCTGGATTAATCCAGCAAGTGTGTACAGGCGTGATGCCGCTTTCTACAGGCCGGCAAGAGAGACGTGAAGAACACGCTAACATATCCAGCCTGGCATAGTGTACAGTCCGGGCAGGCAAACAGTGAACAGTAAAAAATAACTAATAAATGGTATGTCAGGTGGTGATACCTGGGAGAGAGAAACGAGCAGGGGAGAGTTTAGGGACTGGGGGGAGAGGTGGGCTCAGGCCAAACTTTAAGAAGTGGGCTCAGGCCAAACCTCACTAAGACGGAGACTTGTGAAGGAGATGGGCAAGTCACGCTGAGGATGGAAAGGCTGCTATTCCAGGAGGAGGGGGAGCAGGTCCAGCGGTGGCTGGATGGTCCAAGCAAGGTCCAGGGTGGCGGCCTGCCAGCTGCAGAGCCGGACAGTGGGGATGGACAGCCACGTGGGCCAGATGCTAGCACGTCGCAGTGTTGTCAGCACTTTGGGCTCTGTTCCGAGTGAGACGGGAAGTCACTGTAGACTCTTTGAGCAGAGCAATGGTCTCCTTACCACTTACCAATCAGGTGAAGACGGAGGAACAGCGGAAGGAAGCCTTATGTAATACTTGGCATGTGCTGCATACTTTTCTAAACACTTTGCACACAGTTAATTTTCCCAGCTCTTTGAAGAAAGTGATGTGAATAACCCATTTTACAGATAAGGCAACAGAGAGTGTAGGTCCCTTGCACACGATCATATATTTGGAAAGTGGCAGAGACAGGTCATAGCTTTAGGAAATGGCTGATAGAAGGGCAGACTCTCCAACAACCACACCATTCTTCCGAAAATCACGCTGAATTCTGAATTCTGTGCTATCAGCATTGTCTCTCACTCAGAGAGCAGTTAATCCCAATAAATGCTTATGACTTTTAACACTTGAAATCATAAGTATTTTCTGTTCACGAAAAGCACACCCCTAGTGAGAATGGTTGAAGCTAGGACGCGGGCATCTTAGCGGAAATGTGTAAGTTTCACCCTCACAGTACGAAGAGGTTCCTCCATGTAAATCTCTGCTCAACTCAAACCAAGCAGGCGCCTGTGCGCGCTGAGCGGGCTGTGGAAAAACCAAAGATTAAGTGTATGTGGAAATCTACTTGGTCCTCATCCGGAGCCCTGCCAAGTCACATTTTAGGAAGGCTCCTGCAGTTTTATGGATCTAATCCTAGACATTTCTGGAATATTAATCTAGCACTTTTCATTTGGAAAAAAAAAGAAAGAAAATATAAACCAGAGTGGCTTGCACCATCTAGTGAGCTTCACCCAGTGGTTCTGTTCGCAGCAGCCACTGCTAATGAGACCCACCATTTTACAGGACGAGGCGGGCATGCAGGTCTCCCAAGGGCTGGTCACCTCTCCCCTCCCGCCTGTCAGCACGCCCTGAATGAGCTCCCCCCCCCACCCGACACACATGCGCAGAGGGGCTTGATTTCCGCGTCCCCGCCTCCTGCCAGCCCGGGAAGAAGGAGAGAGATTGTGTCTCCGTCTTGGCTCCTGCCCACCGGAGTGATCTATAACTGTCTTGAAATTAAAATGGAAAAATAAAACGAAAGCACTGGAAATAAACGTGAATAAAGACAGAGAGGCACATTGTGTTTTACAGTGAGGACGTCCCGGGCTCCAGGTGGAGCTGGCGTTCAGTTAGAGGACATACCCTTTCGCAGCCAGCCTCAGGGCCGCGAGAGAGGTAGTGGTTGGGAAGAAAGCATTTCCATACATGGAAACAATGACTTACCCCCCACCCCCACCCCCAATCTCTTAGCAAAGACCCTCACTGGACACGGTGAGATGAGGCTTTTGTGGCCACGCACAGGGCAGCCCGGGACGGCACCCCCTTACCAGCAGGGAGAGCAGGGATGCTGAGCAGCCCTCCTGCTGAGCATCCTGCCAGTGTCCCGGGCACTTAGCGCCATTCCTGGTAAACAGCGAGCCTCCATCTTGCACCATTTCAGCTCACTTTCCCAATTTCAAATGCACTGTATTTTTTTAAAATATATTTTTATTGATTTCAGAGGGGAAGGGAGAGAGAGGGAAACATCAGTGATGAGAGAGAATCATTGATCAGTTGCCTCCTGCACGCCTCTTATTAGGAGTCGAGCTGGCAACCCGGGCATGTGCCCTTGACAGGAATCAAACCCAGGACCCTTCAGTCAGGAGGCTTGAGGCTCTATCCACTGAGCCAGACCGTATTTTAACGTGAACGATGGCTCAGCAACCAGGTCTGGGGGGCTTACACAGGGATAATTATCGGGCTTTTGCAGGTGGCATCGGGTCGCCATCAGCGTGGAGAAGAAAACTGTGACCATGATCGTTGACTGTAAGAAGAAAACGACCAAACCGCTGGGGAGAAGCGAGCGAGCGATCGTGGACACCAACGGGATCACGGTGTTCGGCACGAGGATTCTGGATGAAGAAGTGTTTGAGGTAAAGACGAATCGGACTTTATTTCCGGCTGGCTCTGGTTGAGGCAGGAGCACCGAGCTAATGGCAGGAACCACCAAGACGTGCCCAAAGTGAGGCTGGCCACTCGACAGGGTGACCTACTTTCGTCCCCTGCGGGCGCAGCGCTGATGTTTGCCATTGTTGGGTGAGAGAATGAGTGGACAATGGCGACCCGAGCGCCCGGGAAGCGTTGACAGAGATTGGGTGATGCGAACACAGGCAGCTATTCTCCGGGGAAGGGCCCGCGGCTCCACTCCGAGTGGCTGCTATTCTTTCCTTTAGAGAAAAGGACATTTTCTTCACTTCCTTCTCTGGGAGATGAATTTAGAAAAATGTGCAAGTCGGATATTCTGCTTTTCTCGGGCCTTTGTGAAGGTTTCCAAGGCACAAGAGAGATGGCAAAGGGGACCTTTATGTTGTGCAAATACCTTTTTTAAATTGATGTGAAGGTCCTGGTAGAAAGCTTTCTTCCCATTATAATTCCCCAGTTAGAGCATCACATTCCTGCTGTTAACCCTGCAGGCCCTGCACCTGGTAGCTGGTGCTTTCTGTGTCATTTAGTCAATCGTGAGCCAAACACACAGACTGGGGCCTGGCCCCCTACGGAGCGCACCCTGAGACGTCATTCGTTATTCCAGTGGCTGTTGGTGCACAATCTCTAAGTCACTTACTTTTCAAAGTCGAACTGAGTGAAGCTGTGCAAGATATTACAGGTTAATAGACAAGTTTTACATGGAAGATATGCTGTGTTTTGTTGATGTGTGAATCTGTATATATCACATATATGTACATACACTTATGTACCCACACATACACAGAGACAGTATGTATTTTTATAAAAAGAACAGTGTAACTTCGGAGTGTCAGTCTTGCCTTCCTGTGCTTATATACCTCACTTGTGGCATCTATAATAATAAAAGTGTAGTATGCTATTTAGACTGGATGTCCGGAAGCCAGGGTTGCTAGGGAAGCCCAGGTCCCGGGTGCCTGCTGATGGCCGGAGGGAAGCCCGGGTCCTGGGTGCCAGAGGGAAGCTGGTGCCGGCAGCCAGGGGAAGGAAGGCCTACTCTTGTCGTAGAGGCATCGGGCCTCTAGTCTTCTATATATATAAAAGCTTAAGTGATCATTACAACCAGACGACTGGACAACCAGCCGGTAGCTATGACACACACACTGACCACCAGGGGGAAGAAACTCAATGCAGGAGCTGCCCCCTGGTGGTCAGTTTGCTCCCACAGCCAACCTCCCACGGTCCCTCCCCCTGTCCAATCGGCCCTGATTGGCCCCAATCACTGGCCAGGCGGAGGGACCCACCTGTGCACAAATTTGTGCACCGGGCCTCTAGTAGTTTAATAATAATTGATATTGGTGATATTTTCAGATTATTTGTTTGGGATTCCATGTGTTTTGCATATTCTCCACTGGTATTTATCTAAGCCCTAGATTCTAAACACAATGTTTTAACACATTTTATCATACTAAGTGAAATCATAAATTGATCCAGGCAATATATAATCATATACTCTCACATCTTCCAGTATCATGCTTTGATTGCACACAAATACTACATATTGAATTATTAGAGGAATGGATATTGTAAACAAATTAATTTCTAGTCTTGCAAAGTTAAAAAAATTTTAAGTGTGTGTGTGTATATATATAATTATAAGTGTATGTACATATATCTGATATATACAGATTCATATATATATATATATATATATATAATTGATTTTAAAGAGAGAGGAGGGAGAGGTAGAGAGAGAGAAACATTAATCGGCTCCCTCCCCTAAGTGTACTGACAGGGTATCAAACCTGAAATCTAGGTACGTGCCCTGATTGGGAATCAAACCCGTGAACTTTGGGTGTACTGGGTGAAGCTCCAACTAACTGAGCCACCCAACCAGGGCGCAAAGTTTTATTTTAAGTGTAAACTATTTGTGAACATCAGTTTTACAGGCTAAATTTAATTTTGTAACACACACACCTTTTTCAATCAGAATAAAGTTTCCTGATTCCTTTTGTGAAATTAATTCAGCATACCTGAATATGGTATTAATATATCTTTTCCTAAAAATGTACTCAACTATTTTTCAATTCTTTTGGTTTACATTATGGTTCCTATCTAGACTTCTGAGTCATTGCAACTGAATGTGTAGAAATTAAACTAAAACTGACAGGAGATAGCAATGGTACCATGTATGCATTGTTTTCGTGTTGGATCAAGAGTTGTAATGAAGAAGAAGATGTAAAAACACCAGCAATTCATTTTCACTTCTTTGGAAATAGTGTCGTTTCAATTTAGATGCAAATTTGTTTAGTGTATATCATTTTGTCTATATACTACCCTGCATTTATGGAATGGTACTATTCTGGCAAAAATGCTAAAAATGGCCCTATTTGAATTGCAACCTGAAGACTTGTAGGAACAAAATATTTAACAGATAAGAAAAAAACGAAAAACATTTTGTAAAATAATGACAAATTAGTTTATATGAAAATGCCAAAATGAATATATAGACCCATAATTCAGATTCTATAATTTCAGTGTAGCAGAGGGAATATAAGAATTGATTCTGGAATGAGAAAAATCTGATTTTGAATCTCAGCATCTAGCTTAATCATGTTTCTCTGTGTAATTACTTTATGTATGTTTTAATTTTATCATTCTTCAGATGGGAATAGTAATGGAATCTCCCTCATACATACTTATTTTAAAAATGAGCTGATGTATATAAGGTGCTTAAAATACTGGTATGCGATACATATGGGTATATATTCTATGTTAATTTAATCATACATTGATATACAACTGTTTTCCTGTTGTACATTGTATGGCTTTTTGCACATGCATTCACCAATGTAGTGTCTTATGAAGTAGTTTCATGCCCTAAAAATCTTCTGTGGTCTGCCTATCCATCCCTCCCTTACCCCTAAACTCCGGCAACCACTCATCTTTTTACTGTCTCTGTAGTTTTGCCTTTTCCAAGATGTCACATAGTTGGCATCCTGCAGTTTTTAGTCTTCAGATTGATTTCTTTCACTGAGTCATATGCTTTTATGTCTCCTCCATGTGCTTCATGGCCTGATAGCTCCTTGCTCCTCAGTGATGATTAATATCCCGCTGACCGGCTCTAACACAGTTCATTAGGTCATCTACTGAAGAGCATCTTGGTTGCTCCCAAGTTTTGGAAGCTGTGCGATAAGCTGCTATAAACATCTGTGTGCAGATCCTGTAGGATTTTATTCTTTAAATTTGTTAAGGTGTGTTTTATGGCCCAGAATGTGGTCTTTCTTGGTGAATGTTCCATGTGAGATTGAAAAGAATGTGTGATTTGCTGTTGTTGGATGAAGTAGTCTATGTATTTAATTATATCCACTTGATTGATAGTGTTGTTGAGTTCAACATGTCCTTGCTAATTTTTTGCAGCTGAATCTGTCCATTTCTGGGAGTAGGTTGTTAAACTCTTCTACTATAATATTGGATTAATCAAAGTTTTCCTGGGTTGTTTTAGTTTTTGCCTCACATAGTTTGATGCCTGGGGTTAGGCACATACACATTAAGGGTAGCTATTTTCTTGGACAGTTTTCTTCTTCATCATCATCATATAATGTCTCTGTTGAACCTGGATAACTTTCTGTGCTTTGAAGTCAACTCGAACTAAAATTAATACAGGTACTCCTACTTTCTTTGATTAGTGATAGCATCGTGTATCTTTCTCCATCCCTTTACTTTTAATATATATGTCTTTCTATTTTAAGTAGGTTTTTTTGTAGACATCATATACTTGGGCCTTGTTTTTTGATCCCCTCTGACAATCTCCCTGGGACTTGTTTTTTTGATCCATTCAGACAATATATATGTGGTTATTTCTAAGGGGGTCTTATGGCTGGCATGTACAAATAGTCCTATGTAATGGCTTCTGACATGTCTCCCTTATGCTTTATTATATTCTTCACAGTGCTTAACACTCTTTAATTTTGCTTAGAATATCTTTCCCCATCTGGAATCTAAGCTCCAAGAGGGCAGGGACTTTGTGCTATATATACTCAGTGTTTAGAATAGTGTCTTAAGTTTATTATTGTCTAAATGAATGGATAAGCATACTTTTTAGCACTTATCAATTCAAAGGATATAGCTCTTCTGTTGCAAGAAAGGACACAAGAGACCAGGTATGCTACCATTTTTCCAAGAGCTAGGAGTTGATAACCTACTTAAAAAAATAACAGAAAATTTCCTTTCCCTGGTGAAGGAAATAGTCCTACAAATCCAGGAAGGGTAGAGAGTCCCAAACCAGATGAATCCAAAGAGACCCACACCAAGACACATCATAATTAAAATGCAAAAGGATAAAGACAAAGAGTGAATCTTAAAAGCAGAATCTTAAAAGAGAAAAGCAGTTAGTTACCTACAAGGGACCTCCCATAAGACTATCAGCTGATTTCTCAACAGAAACTTTGCAGGCCAGAAGGAACTGGCAAGAAATATGCAAAGTGATGAAAAGCAATGACCTACATCCAAGATTACTCTACCCAGCAAATCTATCATTTGGAATCAAAGGACCGATAAAGAACTTCCCAGACAAGAAAACGCTAAAGGAGTTTATCACCACAAACCAGAATTCCGTCTTCTTTAATAATAATAATAATAATAATAATAATAATAAGAAGAAGAAGAAGAAGAAGAAGAAGAAGAAAGATCAAAATATGAACAATGAAGTGGTACTAATACATATCTATCAACAATTAAATCTAAAAAGCAAAATAAATGAAGAAAGCCGAACAGAAACAAGCTCATAGATACAGATATTTTGACGATTGCCAGATGGGAGGAGGTTGAAAAAAGTGAAGAGATTTAGAAGTACAGATTGGTAGTTACAGAATAGTCATGGGGATATATAGTACAGCCTGGGGAATATGGTCAATAATATTCTAACAACTATGTGTGGTGTCAGATGGCTACAAGATTTATAGGCATGATC